TTTTATATTAATAACTCGAGGATCGCCAACAATTAATATTATAATCCGATATTTATTAATATTGGTATGAGCGAATTTGTTTTCAATTTTTCCTGTAAAAAACCAAGGTACAATTTGTGCACGAAGTACGCATAAGGATCACTGCCCGTGGTATGGAGCTTATTACGCTCGGTGAAACTTGGCTATTGCAGTTAGCCCCCTCGAGGTTCAAAGACCTTGTGTGAGATGAGAGCTTGCGTGTGTCAATACATCATATTTAATTGCTTTGCCTTTAGTTTTAACCATTTACGTCGAACTTGTTTATAAAAATATTGTAAAATTATTGCATAATATATTTACATTATATGTGTGTGTACTTGAGGGAAAACAGAGGCTTTCGTAAATCGCAAGAGAATATAAATCATCCAGCAAGTGGTCAGCACAAGAACATCACCTGTGATTGATGGCGCTGTCTGTTCCACTCTTGCTGCGAATATTTCATTAAGCGAGCTCTGCAAAGCCACGCCATGCATCATAGGTTACATTCGGGAGCGCCATGTCGACGTCCTCGATCCACTTGGCTTAGGGTAAAAATTAACACTCAAGACGTTCTGGTACTCTCATACAAAAATAAAGCTGTTTTACTTGTTTACGAGCATTCGTTATTTCCTTCTTTGCACCAGACTGGGTGCAGCGAAACTGATTATATAAGCAAATTTCAAGAACGCTGTACACTTAACGAGTTAGAGTCGAAATTCTGAGCTCGAAGTTTTTTGTATGTAGGTTTACTCCGATGGAGATGCGGGAGAGCAGATTCGAGACTTCTAGGGGGATACACGTACGGAACTTCAAACGGGGAAATTCAGCACGACTCGTCGGGAGTTTATTACCCTACTCATATTTACACAATTGGAGTGGGTGTTAGCGGACTAGGCGTGCGGCCGACGCGACGAATGCTACGTATCCCCCTCGGGTAAATGTTCCTCTAAGTCAAAATTTCTTTTCCAGAGCAAATATTCTATTGCGTGGAGATATATTTCATTTGTTGCTTGTGGTAGTGTTCTGGCAGATGAAAGGGACGGCGTGGACAGGCCTTTGACATATTGCGTACTGCCTTTGAAACGACATACCGGCACATTAGAAACATTTTATTACGGGAAGAAACAATTTTTTATACGGCTGATATCTGTCTAATATATTAATCTGACATTTTATTACTATTTGTTACAGATCGATTAATTTTTTGAAACTAATAATATTGCTGTGGATACTTATAAAAAATTAAAGCTTGCTAAAGGCCTATTCTGCATAGAGGGTATCAGGGCATAGTGCACTACCCCACAGCAGAGTGGGGAACTTCACACAATTTTGAAATATTCTTTTTTTTTGTTATTATTTCGAAAATATGCAAATTTCCTCACTATGTTTTCCTTCACCCTTGAGCACGTGATAAGTCAGCATTTAAAATTAACAATTTCATTGGTGCCTGCGTCGGGATTTGAACTCTGTATGCTCGATTATATATAATTAAAAGCGAGAGCCTGGACAGAGAGCTATGACTGCTTCATATACATACATATTACACTTATAATTATTATTAATTAATGTATCAATATTTTTATTTATTTGAGTCAAGTAAGTAATACCATATTATTAATGTATTGTTTTTAAAGTATTTTTTATTAATTTTTGGCCATATTATGATAGCGGATAATTTTTAACAGTAGGAATAGTTATATCATTCAGGTGTTGTCCATTTCACCGCCTGATCAAAATATCAATATAAAAGATGTGATTGTAAATGAAAATGAATGACACACATCTATATACTTGTTCAGTCTGTGGGAACTTGTATACTCAGTTCTTTTTTATTATTTTATCTGTACATTCTGCCGCGATTCATAAGTATAGGTTGAAAAGAAAAAGAAATATGGAATTAAATAAATAATTCTGTCTAAGAATAACTTATTAAACATTTCCAGAACAGTAATAGATTATTTAAATTTAAAATCGTGATAAAACTGAAATTACATTACGGAATCTTTGCAGCGGGTGTGTAATGAATGAAGACACAACAAACGCTCCGAAGAACGGCGGGCTAACTCGGGTGATTAAGTGTCTCATTTAAATGCAGTCTCCCGATGCGGACGTCTCAAACGCAAAGGGAGCGCGGAAGCCGCGGGAAACGGAAGACGGGTCTCGTCGTGAAAGGAAGGAGAGGTATTCAAATTAGCGTAGTCGCTGAAAAAGTGCACTAACAACATTAGCCGGCGGAACAATGGCGACGCGCACAAAGGAGCGACAACGCGACGACAAGCGGCTACGCGCTGTGTTCGCGCGGCGTGCCCTCCGTTCGCTATGGTGTTCTTTCTTAAATGTGAAAAGGTGGCACACAAGCTAGCGTTAACATTTGCAACACCCGTAGGGTTGCAGATGCGTTATTAAAATAATAATTAAAATACTTCACAAAACGAAACGCAGGTCTGACTTCTGTGAGGTCGTGGTACTTCCCCGGACGGTCCTGCCCATTGCAACCACGAAGAGTGTTGCGTGGCCCTACCACTGTTAAGGCTGCGTTCTAAGGGGGAGGCCTTTGTTCAACAGTGGTCGTCTTGCGACCGATGATGATGATGCCCTCCGTACGTACATTCCCGGCGCTCGAAGCTCACACAGAAACAGATAACCAGGTCCGGTAATTATAATTGCATGTGTATTTCAGTTTATTTGTAATTATTTATTTCATCACTTGTAAATTATGCAATCCTTTATTTTTTACAACATACATATAAATATAAATCTTAATTTACAGATAATTAAGCATTACTTCTAAATAAATCCTCGTTGATAGTAAGTGATTGCCCCGATCGGATAAACGGATCGTGAGCAAAGATTGAACTGGCTTTCGAAAGGATGAAACCACTTGTGAATAAATGTTACTATACCGGCCGCTATCCGTTATTTGCTCGAGTTGGGATTACTTAACCTCAATCATCAGTTATACCTACATCCAATTTTAAAATATAAACAAAATTAAGTAAAACCATTTTAAGGCTCGTTAAATATTAGTACGAGTAAATGTTTTGATTGTCATTCTCAGTTCATTCATAAAAACTTCGTTATAACGTCCTAAATGTTCAACCGAAAAGCCGACAGATAAAACGCCATGAAGTGGAACAATTAAACATTCGTCTTGCTGTCCTTTTTTGCTGCAATTAAAAAAGAGGCGCAAAAGCGTTAGTGCAGAGCGTAAATATCGAGTGTCCGACGGCTACTTGTCCCTGGGGGATTGGGGCATGGAAGTCGACGCTTTTGACTACAAAAGGGAATGCCAATAGTCTCTCTATTCATTTTCATTGTGCATATTCTATTTACGAGGCGTTAGTAAGCAGTTTTTTTTTGCTTTAATGCGAATTTATCATACGTAAGACAAATTGTTTAGAGCAAAAAAGACACAATGTCTTAAAATCTTTAAAAGTAAAGCAATAACATATATTCACGATACAAAAGTTTATAAAATAAAAATAAATTTTTAAGACTATGAAAAAATAAGAAAAAAATAAGGTGAATAATGATTATAATCAAGAAAAGAGAAAAAAAAAAGAAGCTCATAATTTATTTACTTTCAAAGAACGCCTTTTGTATCCTTTTACAACCACAATATACATACGCTATTGAAGCAAATAAATCACAAAGATCTGATAAGTGCCCGACTTATATTTATTTCATAAGAATTACTTGTATCAAGTGAGCACGAATATTAGAAGTTCAAAGGTGAATATATACTATGCTCGTTATAAAACAAGGGCCCGAGGTAGGCTCCCGGGAAAAATATCAACCTTCATATTATGCCTCTGGGTGACAAATGTGTAATGAATTACACTATTTACTGTTAAAGAGATATGTAACTGATTACTAAGAAAATCTTCTATATTTTATTCTATACTCGTATGTATAAGAGTTCTAACGTTTTTACCTTGATGCTAATATTTTAACTATTACAGTTATTTTTACCAGATAGAGTGATTCAAGAGGAAGGTTAATATGTATTTGCACCCTGTTCATGTACATTGCACCCGTGCTAAGCCGGGGAGGGTCGCTAGTGACATATATAAGTGAATTTGACAGATGATATAGAACGTATGATACGGAAAGAGATCGAATTAAATCTAATCTAATTAAACCAATTGACGTAATTCGAGCTCAGCTTCGGTGCGCCAGTGTCAAATCTACTTCGAATTTGTATATAATATCATTAAACATTACTTAACTTATAATGCCAGAATTAATAAATCAGTCTCAGAAAAATAATCATTTTAATGTAATGAATTAAGGTCGTGTTTCGACCAATAGAGATTTTTTTTAAGTTATAACGGCAGAAAAAAAATACCATTAAAGTAATAACATTATCTTTCCCTTTGTAATCCATAGGTATTGACAATATTAATCTATTATACTTTCATACATATTTATTTATGTTAATTATATATATTATATAATTATTTATGTTTATTATAGTTTTTTTGTTATTATTAAGTAAGTTTATTAAGCACACCATCTCCCACTATTCATAATTTTCCTTGTCCTAAGGTTGTCTGGAAGAGATCGTCGCTCTTTAGCGATAAGACCGCCTTATTGTACCTAGCTTTTAAGATTTATTTTATATCAACTGTATAAAACATTTTGTGGTGTTCAATAAAGTATATATTATAATAATAATAATAACAGTCTGATATAACGTTTGGCCGTCATGATTATGCAAATCATGGCAACAGGTATCCTTTTATTTTCGTTGTTAATTTGATTAAAAAGGTCAAATGCTTTATATAGGATAAAGGGACTTGAAGTTAAGGGGGGCAACACGGTTAATCCGCCCAAACAAATTAGGAACAACATTAATATATCCCCTGGATCCGGCAACTTCCCCGCAATAAGCAGAATGTATTAGTGTTATTTATCTTAGCTAGAGCGCCAGTAAAGTTTTAATTGCGAGCGCCGATACAATTTGCGTACAAATGAATTTATTCGCTGGATCCGTAGTGCATTCGCGGGCGGGGGCGGCGCGGGGCGGGCGGCGGGCGGCGGCGCGGATTATCCGCGTGTGTCGAGCCGCTAATTGCGGGTAACGACAGTTCCGCCGTGCGCTCCCACCTACGAATATCACGCTCTCGAAACGCAATCACCACGTCGCCCTCCAACGCCCGACTTTACTACACAAATTAAGTTAATGGCCACTCTATAATGTAATTATCGCGTCCGCATTAGCTTTACTCAACTGATTAATTACGGTATTTATTGTCCTGCATCCGTGTAAAGAATCAAAGGGACGAAATCGTAGCGGAGTCCAAAGGGGATCGAGGCTAAGTAGGGCCGCTTTCAGACCAACGGAACTGGCACAGCAGTCAGTACTCGGGCAAACAAAAGGGTGATAGCGCTGCGTGCGTAAATCAAACTGCGTACAATAACAGGACCCCCCGCGCCCGCCCCGGCTATACGCCACCGACCCTCCTAGTCCTCCCGGTGGCTCTATAACCACCGGATCTCATAAATCTGCCATACAGAGAAGTACTCCTGCACCCGGTCAAATATGTGACGGACCGACGGCACTGTGGTAAATGCCAATAGGCTTGTAAAATAATTATTGCAAAATTACTTTTGGATATAAATTTTTACAAAGTATGTTTTGATGTTATATATTTAACTTAAGACTTAATTTTTGCACTTTTACATTTAATTACAACACACATGACACCAAGAACGGTACCTACTAAGTTTTTTTCATCGTCACTTCAAAAAATAAAGAAAGCAATGGTCTGGAATCGAAAAAAAAGTAAAAAAATAGGTGTGTAAATGATCGTGATACGAACCACGGCCGTCTGTTTTGGGGCCGCCCGATTACCGACCGAGTTATTATAACATTTTTTTTGCGGCGAAATATATTTTATATTCGAATGCGTCGAAGGCGTCATATTCGAATGATATTTTTCATTCCCTAAAAACAGGGATAAAAGGACATTTTCTAAAAATGAAACCTAGCTAGATCAATTTTTCGCCCCCGAATCTACGCACATACTAAATTTCATGAAAATCGCTGGAGCCGTTTCCGAGTTTCGATTATATATACAAGAATTGCTTGTTTAAAGGATAAGATACCGAAAAAGTCATTATAGGTAAATAGAAGCAGATAACGCAAGACAATTCGCATTCTAGTATTTCGATAGCACTATACATTAGCCTCGGTCATTGTAATTAAACAGGAACAATGCTCATATCAATCTTCGGTGAGTACACTGCTCATCAAGGGTTTCCTAAAGATATATACGTACATAATGTGTATTGTGCGATGTAATAACAAATGCCGACATAATAAATTAAGGAAAAATACGAGAGTATCTATAAATATACGTAGATTTTCTATTAGACAGGAGCAATCGATAGTAAAGTACTTTGGAAGATAGAGCGAATCCAATTAATAACACCAAATAAGCATGATGTTGGTGGAGGAAGAAATTAGGATAGCTCGGTCGATGTGGATTAAGGGCGCCACCTAATCTTACCTATACGTCTCGAGCCGAACAACAAACAAGCCGCGAGCTGAGATTACGCTCCGAATAAATCAATGTTACGACGCGTTAAAATATTTAAGCTCACGATTAATGCCGGGTGCAAATCTAAAGCTTATCGAACTCAAGAGCGCCAGGAGCAAGTCGCAGATGTTCAGGACCCGTGATTGTCACAGCAAATTTATTTCGATAACACCCGTACAAACTGTTATGGCGATAAATTAAAAAAAGGCTTATATTTCAACGATAAGGAACCCGCCATTCAAAACACGAAAATATACATTTTTGTAAAAACTAACCATTTTCCACAATTGCACCTAGGGCGAAATTCTTCATTTGACTATTTTCACACAGAGCACCGGAATAAACCGACAGAACGGGAACGTTAGCGCTGAAATAAAAATCGTATAAATTTTTACGACTCATCTGCCTACGTCTTCGCGCGATTGGCAATTAATGTATAATTTACGTGGATGATTAACCGGAAGCTTATCGTGCTTTGGTTATGTATCGTGAAATTGCCGTAGAAGTTTTACAAGGGCTCGTTAGGGCGCTGTAACGATAACCGCAAGAGATTACTGTTTCTAATCAGACGTAATGACACAGCGCCACCGCCACCCGAGGCCCCCGTACTCTCACGGTGTCGGAGACAGCCGGCGGCCCGCTGCTTTACCACCCCTGCTCTTCATGTCATCTCTTGTTTAACTTCTATATAGTTGGGAGTACACACGTCGTGTTCAGTATACAATCGCGGCACTATTGATTAGACACGGAAATATCTCGAAGTTATCGCCTATACGTATAAAGCAGATAAAACTTTTCGTGCTACTACAAGACAAAACGATGGACAGATGAAATCAGTGTTCGTTCAAAATGACAACTTAAAAACTATCTGCTGAATAGATTAAGTTCAATAAAATTAAATAAGAGTAAATTTTCATAAAAAAAGCTTCTGAACCGAAGAGGATGGATACTTTTGATATAACGATATTCTGGCGGAAGTAATAAAATAAAACGATTTTACATCTCCAGGGGGAAACGAACGTTTTTTCGAATGGGAAAAGTAGCGAGCGACTTCTCATTCCGCGATAAAATCGGGTACGTTTTACGAGAATCTTCTATTCGATTACCGTTAAACAACAATGTTTAAAAAAGTTTTATTCACTTCCTTATGCAAAACTTTTAACGTAAACGCTTTATGTCATTTTCATATGTTCCGTAAGAAAGTAGAATGAAATAAAAATTAATTGGTTTCTACTTCTATTTAATATTTATGCATCCTATTTTGCAAAAACTGTGGACGAAATTTGGCTTGGCTTGTGAATGTAAAATAAATCAAAGTGATTTCATAAATTTTTCGTTGAACACAATAAAACGTTTGTTAGTTGAGCATTTTAGCGACGTTTCAAATCAAAGAAATATCTGAATACAATATAATCCATATTTTTCAATCATAAAAACCCAACAGCCGACCAAACAAGATATGTGACTGTCGCGGAGGGATAAAAAACTATCAGAAGGAATAGTTGCGCGGGGATCTTCTCTTCGTAGTCGTATAATGAACTGATCACGTAGACACATTTCGTATTATTTCCTTAGGACGCGTCACGTGACCTGAATAATGTAGGCACCGGTCACAGCCGCGGCACCAGCCTCATCGGACCCTTAACAAATAAACCGCTTTACGCACGACTCTCCAGCGGAGATTCATTATTCCAACTTTTCCTTACGATATCATAAAACGTAAGTACTTATAAGTTTTCCTAGTAACCTTGTTTGATAAAGGACGACCGCGTCGTAAATTATTAGAACAGAGTAAAGCGGTACACAATTTTACTGTACGGAAACAAAAATAATATTGGTTTTCTTGAGATGAATATCGCTGATATCCCCTTTTATTTCAATTAACACACATATAATTTGTTGTTTATTTTCCCAAGATCTAGTTACATAAATTAATTATACATCTAATCCTATACTTTTTATACTATTTATTAGTAATTCATAGGAGAGATGACTTTGTTTATTTATCGTTTCACTACGAATTTTCGTAAGGAAACTTACTCAAAGAATTTACTATGGCTTAGCAACATAATAATTATCGTAGCAATTTCAATAGTGCTCGATATTTCTATTGTATACTTTATTCAATTTCATTTGAAATATATTTGTATCGTATCAATTTAATTATATAACAAAATATTATTATACAACAAAATATAAAAATATTTTGGCATACACAATACTATAAACTTGTATAAGGACGTAAAATACTCCCAGGGGCTACGGCGTAGCAGTTTATTGCACGGTAGGCTCGCTCATAACTACCCATTTACCTACGGATAATGAAGGGCAACAAGCAATGTTATGTTTATTTCAAACAAAGTCCACGGTGTTATGTCGCGCTTGGATACGTGATTCCCGAGTGAGTCTCCTATACACATACACACAAAAGTAATAAACAAGACACACTTATAATGAAGCAATGTAGCGACGAAATTTGCTCTTAGATTAATCTCAAATTAAGTCCTTTTTGAAGTGAATATATCTATAGGCGCGCAGGGTAATTATGGATGAATTGTAACATGTATTTTCTATGATGATTTAATGAAAAAAAAAAAGGATACCGATGTTTCTTCTCCGTTAGGTTGTGGAGGTTCCATGAGGTTCCCCATTACGAAACGGTGGTACATTTTAAAATTGACTACCGATAGATGATATGTATATTTCTTTTTTCGATGAATGAATGATTTGATTTGATGCGATAGTATTATTGCCGTGCATCTAAAAATTTAAATTTATAAAATAAATATTAACCAAAATTCATGCTTATTAGTCCTAATTTTCAGGAATAAAACTGGATTTTGTTATTTAAATTAAAATAAACAATTATTCCAGTTTTCATTTTCGTCGGCAGCCCCCGTGGCTGATTTTTCTCATGTTTGTGGCTTTATTCTTGGTAATTTATCATTTAGAACAGAAAAGTGACTCACCTCGGGTTGCCTCGCAGCGCGGCGTGGTGAAGTGCATTAAATCCATTGTTATTTGTTCGTGTCATATCGGCACCGTGGTCCAGCAGTAAAGTCAATATATCGTCGCGCTTCTTCGAAATAGCATCATGAAGTGGGGTGTCACCTTCCGAATCCTGTAAGAATATATAAATTATTAAATTTCTAAAGTATTTTGAAACTTCTGAGGTGTTATGAATATATCATTCCCCCAAGTGCTTACAAATAGGTAATTTTCAAGTGACCAAAAATTTATAAGTTTATTTATAATGAAGTATAAATATATTTATTTATCAAGTGATGATATAGATGCTGGACGTTAACCCAAGGTTTTACATAGTCTATAAAAAAAAATTCTTAGGAGACAACATCGGATATGTATGTGCACTTTTTTAAGAATTTATGCACAACTTAATAAGTTTATCCTAACATCTAATGGGTATTAAAATTGAGAAAATGTAATTGAGTCAGAAAGTTATACATAAAGCTAGTCTTATTTATAGCCAATCAGTTTCTATAGTTAATTTCCGAAGGTATGACGTGTCATGGATCATCTTAAAAATATATGTATTACAATTTACTTGATACCTAAAGGCGAAAGTTTGTATGTATGGATGGATGTTTGTTACTCTTTCACGCAAATACTACTGAATGGATTTTAATGAAACTTTACAACAATATAGCTTATACGTCAGAATAAGACATATTTCTATTTTCTTTTCTTTCGCCTTTCTGTATGAATGTTACGCCTTCAGCCTATTCTACGCAGACGTAGTGGCGGGCAGCAGCTAGTTAATTATAAAGCAAAAATAATTATAAACTAATTAATTTTATAAGTTAATATCGGCTTAAATTAATAACGGTCAAATATACGGAAAAGTCCATTCGGAAAAAGGAGATAAAAAAAGACACGAATTGCTACGTTGTTTAATGATACGCAATTTTATTTATGTGCAGATCTATTTATTAAATTGTTTGAAGTTTGAAGATTAGGACGACGTCTTCATTTGAAAGATTACATTTAATGTAAAATATACTATTTTTTAACGAAAGTACCGAAAGGTTCATTTGTCATGAGTGATGTGACTCCCTCATAGTGAGAAGAAATCTGTGACATAATCTAATTAACATAATGATTTCCTTAGATGATAATTACTTAAAACAGATTTGCTAAAAGAATTTCATTAAATAGTCACTCAAAAAACTTCAATTAAAATAAATTAACGCTCAGACGGACATCGAACCCACTACTCATACTCTAATTACAATACTCTAATTGGTAATTAGGCATACTCAACAACACTGCACTTAATCCAAAGAGAAAGCAGGTAGGAGACATAGTCGTTAAAAAATATAAATAAAACCTATAAGCAATGAAATGATGTCCAGAAATTAATCTAAAAATTAACACCCAACAGGATCATGCATAGCGATATTGAGCGGTATCAGCTGCGCTGCGAGCGCGTCTTGTGAATTATACAGAAGCGCCCGTCTCGAGTATCGCGACAATTTTCTAAAACATCAAACCGCCCCAATGAATAATTGAGACGAAGGAGAAGGCGTTTAGGGCGCGGATTATGGAGAGCTGCATAATTTAAAGGCGTCTCAGAGTGGTTAAGGCGGGCAGCGCGGATCGGGCGTTCGATGCGCCGCGCGGTCCCGGGCGAGATCGAAAACGGTGTCGGCTTCCGTAATATAGGGCGACTCGCGCAAAAAGCGCGGGCACCACGTCATTATGATAATCACCAGCGCTCCGTGCTGCCGCGTCGCCCGCCCAAGCAATTTTGCTTTGTGAGCGTGCATTAAAAGAGCTGCGCGATGCGCTCTGTCATTCCACAATTAATTTGCAAAATTACTCCGTAAGACGAGTGTACTATTGCTATGAATCTGAATAATACAATTTATTTCGGCTTGCGTTTAACGTTTCAGCCATGGGATCAGTCGTTAATGTCGAATAATATGAAATGTCGTGCTTGTTTCAAATTGGAAACGCGGTTTTGAACGTGGGTCATGCACAATCCCTAGTCAAAAATCCTTATTTCTATCCATAAGAGAAATTTGAATATCCGTAAATAAATGCCATAGGTTTATTACGACAGAAAAATAAATTGATACATTGCTATAGATAAAACATATCTATGAATTCTAAAACAATTTTATTTTAACACTATATTTTCATTCCCTGGGTTACCGGGTTGGAAATTTTGAAAGGTAATAAATCCCGTTAACATAGTGAGTGTAAATGATAGAAAATCAATGAGTTAGTAAAATACAATCTGCTACTACTCGAACTTTTTGCGACGAGATAACGAATACTGTCCCAGCCAGTAAAAACCGTAGCACTTACGAACTTAGTGAAATCTGTGAAATAGCCTTTGTAAAAGCATAAGGCTTTTTTACTTTACTTATAAACATTTTTCAAACTAAAAATTAATTTTAAAGTCGTCTTTTATCAATTAATAATAAATCTTTATATATATATATATATATATATATATATAATTGTATAATTGTCTTCTGTACGTGTGTATGTCATTGAACTCCTCCTAATCGGCTGGCACGATTTTAATGATTTTTTTGTGTTACTTCAGGTCGATTCTAGAATGGTTTAGATTGACAATTTTTTTTAGTTATCGGATTTTAGTCGAGTGCACAGGGCAACGTCTGCCCGGTCCGTTAGTATGTACATATTACACAACCTTACCTGATGTTAAGTGAGAACCACTGCCATCGGACTTTTGCAACACCTGTAGGGTTGCAGATGCGTTGCCACAATTTAATAAAGTGGACCCCGGCTACCTCACTTATCAGACGAACCGCATAAGTATATCACTTCCACTTCACGCCGGTCCTCTGTGAGGTAGTGACTCTTCCTCACAGAGGAAGTCGGACGAAGGAAGAAGGACGGACCTGCCCATTCGTGCAACAACCGGAAATGTTGCGTGGCCATACCATAGTTAAATAATACGACAACAACATTCATATTACTCACGCTTTGTCGTGTAATTTTTAATAATCGTAAAATAAATGTTATAATGATCAAACTAGCACTTAACTAGCACGTAAATAAAATACATATAAAGGACAAGGTACATACATGGTCGCATCAATTTATAACCAAAACCATCGTTTTCATCAACGACTATTATGTACGTAGTGTAAATACATTACTATAGAGTTCATCGAACTCTGCGTCCGTTAATGAAACAAATAAGTATGGAACCATGCCAATTTCAGCAGCGGATTGATATAACGCAGGCTTAGACATAGACACGGAAAATGCGCGCTGGTTTGGTGCCTAAAATATTAAACGCAACAGATAATATCTACCATAAATATTTCCACCCTTTCCTCAGTGGGCTAATGAATGAATTTTAGTAGTATTTCACATTGACACGTATTGAATTATTTTTATAAGAAACTTTATTACAAGCAGCGTGGCGGTTCACCTGAAGTCAAGTGACGACCAGCTTCCATGGATATTGGCAACACCAGGTTGCAGATGACGTGTTGCCGTCTTTTATAAAGTGGGCCCCGGCTACCTCACTCACCAGACGAAACGCAGAAGTATATCACTTCCACTTCACGCCGGTCCTCTGTGAGGTAGTGACTCTTCCTCACAGAGGAAGTCGGACGAAGGAAGAAGGACGGACCTGCCCATTCGTGCAACAACCGGAAATGTTGCGTGGCCATACCATAGTTAAATAATACGACAACAACATTCATATTACTCACGCTTTGTCGTGTAATTTTTTATAATCGTAAAATAAATGTTATAATGATCAAACTAGCACTTTATACTTTACACGTAAATACAATACATATAAAGGACAAGGTACATACATGGTCACATCAATTTATAACCCAAACCATCGTTTTCATCAACGACTATTATGTACGTAGTGTAAATACATTACTATAGAGTTCATCGAACTCTGCGTCCGTTAATGAAACAAATAAGTATGGAACCATGCCAATTTCAGCAGCGGATTGATATAACGCAGGCTTAGACATAGACACGGAAAATGCGCGCTGGTTTGGTGCCTAAAATATTAAACGCAACAGATAATATCTACCATAAATATTTCCACCCTTTCCTCAGTGGGCTAATGAATGAATTTTAGTAGTATTTCACATTGACACGTATTGAATTATTTTTATGTAAGAAACTTTATTACAAGCAGCGTGGCGGTTCACCTGAAGTCAAGTGACGACCAGCTTCCATGGATATTGGCAACACCAGGTTGCAGATGACGTGTTGCCGTCTTTTATAAAGTGGGCCCCGGCTACCTCACTCACCAGACGAAACGCAGAAGTATAACACTTCGACTTCACGCCGGTCTTATTCACATAACCGGTGACTACGGCACGGGACGAAACTGCCCATTCTTGCAACAGCGAAGAATGTGGTCACAAGTTGTCGTATTTGTTTAAAAAACCGGCCAAGTGCGAGTCAGACCGAGCACGAAGGGTTTCGTACCATAATCTATAAAAATGGTTAAAAAATCGTGTTAGTGGTATGGGGAGCCCACTTTAAAATTTTTAATGCTGTTTTTTTAGTATTTGTTGCTATAGCTAACATGGTTCATGAGATACAGCTTGGTGACAGGCTTACAGATAGACGGACGGACAGACAGACAGATAGCGAAGCCTTAGTAATAGGGTCCCGTTTTAACCTTTGGGTAAGGAACCCTAAAAAGGCCTATAAGAATGAATTTAGTTACCGTATTTTTATAAACAACAGTGTTTAGACGTTCACTGTGTCTACATTTATCAGTCATACTGACCAATGGAAAAGAGTTACGACGCTAGAGACGAAAATATAGTTTAGAGAAACGAAACCTTTTTTTTTTGTGAGAAGATGGTAATAAGCAAATGATTCAAACTACAACGGAGCAAGGTTTCCAGGTTCAATAATCAGTCAATACAAAACAATATTTTTACAATCGTAAAAACATTATCACATACTGTAATAAATATGCTATTTTTTACTTAAGAAGCTTAAGAAAATATGTACGCGCAGCGGGATTTTGTCTTTTAAAGAAAAAATTAGAATAATTTTATATATTACAAAGAATGTAGACCGATTACTTAAAACACTATTTTTCCCATAAACAATAACGTAAATGCGGTTTTTTTTATATTGTGGGCGGAAATGTGAAGAAAATAAACTATACCTAAAATACGGTGAACATATCACTGTGCGGCATTTCGAGAGACCCGAGCACGGGATAGCTACGGCTTTGTACTTGAATCGAATAAAGGAAAAACAAAACAGCGACCCGCTCTCGAAAAAAATAACAACACAAAACGGTAAGGTAATTACTCAAAGATAAGAACAGCGCGTTAGAAAATGCGCAGGGTGGGAAAGGGTAGCGGGGCGGGAGGGGCGCACCCACTCCGATGCCCGCGCTGTTATCGCAGCGCCTGAAACCTACCTCTGGCCGACTAAGCCCTCTTTCATCTTTGCAAATAAAACTAATTGATAATTAGCACCGTTTAAATTCGTAGAACTTAATTTAATGAACATAGCCAACGACGAAAACTATAAAAATACCGTACAAAATTTAGTACGTCTTACAAGTGATTCGTATATTACCCGAGTGATGAAGAAGTTTGATGTTTTTCCACAATAAATATAATATTATAATATGTGTATCTCATTCTTGGCACACAACAGCCTAAAACTTTTGACGGAGTTCAACACATGTGGTGGCATTAAATTCGTGCATTAGTATTTAGGTACTATTTTTAATGCAGTCTGATTTTTTGTTAGACTGGTATGTCTATATATAAGTTGTCGTATTATAATTTGATTTTTACAAAAAATAATTCGCAATAAATATATTTTTATTTGACAAATAACAGAAAAAATTAACGCTAGAATTTCAATATAAAATTAAGGACTCTATTCTCAGAAAAGGACATTAAAATTAGGAGAGAAATGTTTAATGCGAAAGGCGACGATACATATTTCTCAGACACTGTCTTCCTGTCTAATATAATGCTCTACCTACATTGAATTTTATTCAAAAAGGCGGCATCAGAGTTTATGTCTCACAAATCTGTATGAATTTATCTACGATAAGACACGATATTCGTATATAGTATACAAGTACGTTTATATGCCATAAAGTACAAGGGTCTGTTATGAACTTTGGAGAAATACTTTTCAATTAACGTTGCTATGGCAAAACCTTAAATATTTTTGTTTTCAATTTATCGTTAATAAAACAAATAATCAAAAGACCTCCGCTTTATGCGTAGCGGACAAAAGAAATTGTAAAACAAAGGAGGACACGCAATGTTGTTTGCAAAGAATGAAGTGTGAGGTATTTAAAAGAAATTTGCCCACTGACGAGGCGGAAGGAAAATGGCTAATTGTTTAATTCCAAACCATTAAGTGTAGTATTACGGGTGGATTATTCACGCGCCATATAGCGCGACGGCCGTGGAGCGCCGCGACGCCTCTATCCATGACGCCCGCGCACCACATTCATTTTCGTCCGACTACCGTTTTAACACGATACATTACACACGACGAAAACCTCTTTGAATGCCTAACGGATATATACGGCGAAATGGCATTAATTTAAATTTCGATCTTGAAATGCAGCGCTCGCTTAATAAAGATAATAATTGCCTTTTATGATCGTAAATTAAGAATTTTCATACTTACGGCAACCCAGACGAGATTGCCACAGAAGACGGTGACCATAAAAGGTAAATATTTGAAACGTCGTAAGTTAAAATCTAACATAAAAACCCGTAAAGTAGTTTTAACAGAAAGCTTAGTCATGCTTCAACCGCACAAAAACACCACGTCATCGCAGTTCAAATCGACAATAAAGGAGTTCGGGGCAATTCCGATGATAAATTGTTACTTACCAATTATAAGAGCGGGCGAGGTGATTTAAAATTTATGGAAATACGACACGAGATAAAATATTTACCGAACGGTGAAATCCTGAACCGGAGTTATTAACTAACTGAATTAATTTGGCAATCTATGTATATCGATGGCAATTATTGAATGGCTCAAAGATTTAAGTAGTGCGAGCCCCGCAGTACCAGGGTGCACCCTCATCAGCAGCCTTGATTGATTGTACGGAATTAAGCCTTCGTGCCTCCATTGCATGCGCCTCTGTAAGCGGACGAGTACAATTAAAATTTATCGGCGTAAGTAAAATAAATAATCCCCATGAATTTGCATTTTCCTGTATTGCTTCGGGATTAAAAAGAATGAAAATTCTACGAAACGGGGGACGGATTCACAGAGCGATTAAAATGAATTTACGAGTAGTACATGAGCGGTGTAATACAATCGGTTTAGTAATAATTAAAATTATGGTTATTATGTAGTATTTGACCCGTGCCAAATTTGCCCACAGTTCTTTGATCATTCACCGATTGTTAATATACTGAAGTATATATCCTTACTATCTTAATCTAAATTTACTATCTTATTCTAAATTTCGCTAAAAAAAATGTTATAATAGCTAGGTCGGTAATGGCGGTTCGTATCACGATCATTTACAGACTTATTTTTTTTAGTTTTCTTACTATATCAGATCATTGCTTTCTTTTTTTTATGCTTTTAATTTCCAAAATACACGATTTACCAAAAAAAAAAAACGAGCAATGCGCGGTCCTTTAGGTACTCTACCTTTAAATGCCGATCTATGTTTTCTCTTATAACACAGAAAACTATTACGGTGATATTGGTATTGATCTCTTAAAACGGTTTTTGTTGATCTCTAAAACGCTTTACGTTTAAAATAACAAGAATTACCATTCACGAGTGCCACAGCCCATTACCGCTTTAATATCTCATCCACGTAAATCTTTTGATTCAGTGAAACCGCAGAACCGCCGCGCGCGTTCTGCTTCGCCAGTAGATATTGGAAAACGGTGATATAAACTACTCGGAGAGAATTAGCATGCAATCCGGTCCCAGCAATTCGCAGTAATGCAATTTTCATACTCATACAAACTAAAGTGTAGTAGCAATGTAAATTGACACAGCTGTTAGTGAAATTTGTTGGTGCAAATGGAATTATACATATTCCAATTATAAATGCAATGTCGAATAATAAGCTGTCTTTTAGTTTATATTATACTTATGGATATATTAGGTTGGGGAAAAACTCTTTTCGCAAAATGTATGTACTTATAATATAATCTCTTTGGCTATACCATTTGTATCTGGCTGGTTTTGATATCATTAAAAAGTTTAAATTTTAAAAAAGATAATTCAAATTAGGAAAATGTGTGATTTTCATTTATTTTTCTTACTGTTAAGATGAGTGATTCTAATGAAGAAGTTCGATACATTTTAAAATTTTACTACATAAAAGTTAAAAATGCAACTCAAGCCGCAAAAAAAAATTGTGATATTTATGGACCTAGTGCAGTTTCTGTGAGAGAGGCACAAATTTGGTTTAAGCGTTCAATTCGGAAATTTTGATGTCAAAAATGCACCTAGCTCTGGGCGCCCTGTTACGGATAAAGAAAAAGTTGGGCAAGATCGTCATATCAGTAGTTTCGATGTAGCTGAAGAACTGGTAATTGACCACAAAACAGTTTTAGCGCATTTGAAAAAAGCTAGGTACACAAAAAAGCTCGATATTTGGGTGCCTCATGAGCTCACTGAAAGAAACCTAATGAGCCGTGTACTCATTTGTGATTCTTTATTACGACGTAATGAAACCGAACCATTTTTCAAAAACCTGATAACTCGTGGTGAAAAGTGGATCACGTACGACAAGAACGTGTGAAAAAGGTCGTGGTCAAAGGCTGGTCAGGCTTCACAGACTCTGGCAAAACTCGAGTTATCTCGCAACAAGGTAATGCTGTGTGTATGGTGGGATTGGAAGGGCATTATTCATTATGAGCTGTTACCGTCAGGCAGGACCATTGATTCTGAACTCTACTGCGAACAACTGATGGGATTAAAAGAAGAAGTTGAGAGAAAGCGGCCGAAATTAATCAACAGAAGGGGGTGTGGTTTTCATCATGATAACGCTAGACCTCAAAAATTAAGAGAGTTTGACTGGGAGGTGTTAATGCATCCGCCGTATAGTCCTGACCTTGCACCTTCAGATTTTTCTGTTTCGGTCTCTTCAGAATTCTTAAGGCAGTGTCAGAATTTCTATAGCAATGGGATCATGTCCCTACCTACAAGATGGCAGAAAGTTATCGAACAAAATGGCACCTACATACTTTAGTTAAATGTAAATAAACTTTATCAAAAAATGTTTTGAATTTTCATATAAAATGCGAAGAAACTTTTTCCCCAACCTATAATTAATGGACATACGCTCCATAGAGTTTCGAAAAGGAAACTTTTATATGCCCCAGTTTATGTCAGCATTATTATTAAGAGAATTTGTTAGGATTTTATTTTTATTTTCTATTAGAAACCGTACACTGCTTTGAAAGACGAATTCGAATCACACATCTACATGTATTTTTCCCAGAAACAAATCGCAAAGCGGTGTTATATCGATCGAAACGTTGGAAAGCGGTAGACACAATACCGCTTTCCAATATTAGACGACGAACTTTCAAATAGTTGGGCTGCGAACACGGGAAAGGTAGGTATTTATTAGGTGAATATTGCTCTGATGCGAGTGGGTCTGTCGAGATTGCGGACGGGGATAGGAAAAGGGCCTTTTTCCTACTATCGACACTGAGCGACGCGCAGGTGTCAGTAATGTGGCACAAATCGTAATCGAGGGTCAAAATATCCCGATCCGCCCGATACCCTATTGTCACTAAAATTTTATTATGCCATATGTTCATGTTGATTTAGAACATGCATATATAATACATAAATGTACTTATATATGTACATGAATGGAAATTCAAACGAAAACGAATGTTATAAAGCATTGAATGTATACTATTATGATACTTTAAATGAAGACTTTATAAAAGCTCTCTATTTGTTATTAACAACATAATTTGTCCAAGAATCCAAGAACAAAAACATTTAATCTAAATTGCTAAAAATGAATCGCTATGTAAGAAGACCACAAAAGGAAGCCCCGTGAAAAAAATGAACCAGCGGCGTAATAAAATACAAGTAGAGAGCGAAGAAAGGAAACATAAAATTTCAGGTGACGTCGGACCTTCCATAAATTTATCGACAGCTCGTGGTAACAGGCTATAAGGAAAATATTTATTAAGTAAAACGGGGAGGGCACGAATTTCATTAGTTAATTATCTGGTCTTGAGAGCGAGAGGCTGAAAAGCCGTTAATTTTCTATTGATTTTGCGGTAACATTCACTCCCGTCTTACATTACATTACGCGAGGTCTCTGGAAGTTGCTCCAAAGTTATATAATTATTTAGAATGAAGTACAGAAGGAGAGAAATTTATCTCGAAGATTGTATCAACTAGTATGCGCATCGCATCCGCTGTGTTGCAACACCATCTATCGATAGGATAGCGGTCATATG